ACCACCTTCCACCTGGAAACCAATGCCCTCACTGTGGGAGAAGATGCGGGTCAAGAATAGGGCTCCACAGTAGCTTACGTACCCACCTCCAGTACACCTATCTTGGAAGACAATCCTACTCAGACAACGAGGGATCGCCTGAGTAAGTAACTAAGCAAAGTATAACCTAGGGCCCTTCCACACAACCCTGTATCCCAGAATATCAAGGCAAAAAATCCCACAATATCTGCTTTGAATTGGGTTATCTGAGTCCACACTCAGATAATATGGGATTTTCTGTCTTGATAATCTGGGACACAATGCTGTGTGGAAGGGCCCCCAAATAATCAAAACAAATACTCCAGATTGTTTCCTTTGAACTGGATTATATATGGCCACTTCTACACTGCCATATAATCCAGATTATCAAAGCAGGTAATCCACATTATCTGCTTTGAACTGGATTATATGAGTCTATATTGCCATATAATCCAGTTCAAAGCAGATAATCTGCATTTTATTTGGCAGTGTAGATGGGGCCTTTCCGAACCAAGGAATCATCCTTGAGCTATTTTTTGCTGCTGCTTAGGAGGAGAGAGAGAAAAAATCTCTGCAGGGTGTATAAGTCTGCTAACAAGAGTAATTAAACATCTGGCACAAATGCAATTAAATATTTTGCTGTTCTGGCAGAAAACAATATACCAAGGGAAGCGGTTTCTTTTCTTTCTATCCTCCCCACTTTGTGTCTGTCGCTTAGGTCTTTCTTCCTTCCCGTTCCCACTGAACATTCTTGGACATGCTTTTGCTCCTTCTGACATGCCTTTTCCCTCAAATGGGCAGACCTGAGGGATCTGTAGTCTTTGGAGTAGATTACTTGATCCTGGCCAGGTTTGTTAGAATATTATTTATTTATTTATTTATTTATCGTGTCATCCGCAACCAGAACATTGTATTACACTTCTAACAGAACAAAACAAACAAACGAGTCGCCCTAGGGCTGAGAGCGGCGGTCAACAAATGCATTAAATAAATAAACAGAAAAAAATCACACAAATTTTGCAAACTTGGTAGTTGATTAAATGTCCTTTGACCAGTATCTGGCCACTTGGAGTGCTTCTGGTGTTGCCGCAAGGAGGTCCTCCATGGTGCATGTGGCACGGCTCAGGTTGCATGGCAGCAGGTGGTCAGTGGTTTGCTCTTCTCCGCACTCGCATGTCGTGGACTCCACTTTGTGGCCCCATTTCTTAAGATTGGCTCTGCATCTCGTGGTGCCAGAGCGCAGTCTGTTCAGCGCCTTCCAAGTCGCCCAGTCTTCTGTGTGCCCAGGGGGGAGTCTCTCATCTGGTATCACCCATGGATTGAGGTTCTGGGTTTGAGCCTGCCACTTTTGGATTCTTGCTTGCTGGGGTGTTCCAGCGAGTGTCTCTGTAGATCTAAGAAAACTATTTCTTGATTTAAGTCGTGGACGTGCTGGCTGATACCCAAACAAGGGATGAGCTGGAGATGTCTCTGCCTTGGTCCTTTCACTATTGGCTGCTACTTCCCAGCAGATGTCAGGTGGTGCAATACCGGCTAAACAGTGTAATTTTTCCAGTAGTGTAGGGCGCAGACACCCTGTGATAATGCGGCATGTCTCATTAAGAGCCACATCCACTGTTTTAGTGTGGTGAGATGTGTTCCACACTGGGCATGCATACTCAGCAGCAGAGTAGCACAGCGCAAGGCAGATGTCTTCACTGTATCTGGTTGTGATCCCCAGGTTGTGCCAGTCAGCTTTCGTATGATATTGTTTCTAGCACCCACTTTTTGCTTGATGTTCAGGCAGTGCTTCTTGTAGGTCAGGGCACGGTCCAGAGTGACTCCCAGGTATTTGGGTGCGTTGCAATGCTCCAGTGGGATTCCTTCCCAGGTAATCCTCAGAGCTCGGGATGCTTGTCTGTTCTTAAGGTGAAAGGCACATGTCTGTGTTTTAGATGGATTAGGGATCAGTTGGTTTTTCCTGTAATAGGCAGTTAGAGCACCTAGAGCTTCGGAGAGCTTCTATTCAACCATCTGAAAGCACTGGTTTGTTAGAATGTCAGGGATTAAATACAGAACATCTGGGTGTCTAGAAAAGGAAAGACTTTCTATACTTTAGACCAGCGTTTCTCAACCTGGAAGTTGGGACCCCTGGGCATGTGAAAGGCGTCACCAAAGACCATCAGAAAGCACGGCATTTTGTGTTGTCATGGGGGTCCTTTCAAATGTTTAAAAGCAATGCTTTTGGATTTGGAAAGATTAGGTGTTTACGAGGAGGCTCTTTCCGTGTCACCTTTGATCAAACACTAGCATATATGAAACACTGCTTAAACACCAAGCACAAAGTAACTGCATGCAATAACATCCTGCGGAAACTTACTGGCAGCACATGGGGTCCAGACCCAAAATTAGTAAGAACATCAGCCCTGGCCTTGTCTTACTCAACTGCCGAGTATGCCTGCCCTGTTTGGCATAGGTCTGCCCATGCAAAGCAGGTGAACATAGCATTGAATGAAACATGCAGAATAATCACAGGATGTCTTAAACCTACACCTCTTGATAAACTCTCATTGAATGAAACATGCAGAATAAGCACAGGATGTCTTACACCTACATGAAGCCATTGGGAGAGATCATCCAGAGTTTCGGGATGCGGTGTCATCTGTACGCAGATGATGTCCAACTCTGTTACTCCTTCCCACCTACTACTAAGGGGGCTGTTCAAGACTGGATGAGGGACAACAGATTGAAATTTAATCCTGACAAGACAGAGGTACTCCTGGTCAGTTGAAAGGCCGAACAGGGCATAGGGCTACAGTCTGTGTTGGACGGGGTTACACTCCCCCTGAAGACGCAGGTTCGCAGCTTGGGAGTGATCCTGGACTCATCGCTGAGCCTGGAACCCCAGGTCTCGGCGGTGGTCAGGGGAGCTTTTGCACAATTAAAACTCGTGCGCCAGCTGCGCCCATACCTTGGGAAGTCTGACTTGGCCACGGTGGTCTATGCTTTGGTTACATCCCGTTTAGATTACTGCAACGCTCTCTACGTGGGGTTGCCTCTGAAGACTGCCCGGAAGCTTCAATTAGTCCAACGTGCGGCAGCCAGGTTACTAACGGGAGCGGGGTACAGGGAGCATACTACTCCTCTGTTGCGCCAGCTCCACTGGCTGCCAGTCAGCTTCCGAGCACAATTCAAAGTGCTGGTCTTAACCTATAAAAGCCCTAAACGACTCTGGCCCAATTTACCTGTCCGAACGTATCCTCCCCTATGAGCCATCAAGATTACTAAGATCGTCTGGAGGGGCCCTGCTCTCGGTCCCACCGGCCTCACAGGCGCGGCTGGTGGGGACGAGAGACAGGGCCTTCTCGGTGGTGGCCCCTTGACTCTGGAACTCTCTCCCACTGGAGATCAGAACCGCCCCTTCGATCTTAACGTTCAGGAAACAGGTGAAAACCTGGCTTTGGGGATTGGCATTCAGCGAATGAGCCATGATCCTGTGATATGGATGGATGACGACGAATAATGACTTTGATGACGACTGACCGCTGTAATCATAGGATTGTATTTTTGCCATTTTAATGTTTTAGTGTGATTTAGAAATATGATGTTTTAATGACGGTCTGTAATATTGATGTTGGAAACCGGCCCGAGTCCCTCGAATGGAGGTGAGAAGACTGGTATACAAAGCTACCAAATAAATAAATAAATTATACTCAAGTATATACGGTACTTACAATGAAACATGCAGAATAAGCACAGGATGCCTTAAAGCTACACCTGTTGATAAACTCTCATTGAATGAAAATGGAGATGAGCACCACACCCCAGAGTTGGACACGACTGGACTTAATGTCAAGGGGAAACCTTTACCTTTACTTAGGTCCAACTCTGAGAGAAAGGTGGTATATAAATTAACACACAAAACAAACACTTTGTCATAGATAAATGTGTCTAGTTATTTAAAATACAGATTAAAATGCCCTTTCATAGTATCTTAAGGCACCTCTCCCTCCCGTTATAATTTTGATGTTAAAAGCCTTGGTGTAAAGTGTCCTTTGAGCACCAAATTGAAAGAAAAAGCAAGGCGTGAATATGGGAAACGCTTTAAAAAACACACTGGATGTTGAGCCGGATGGCCGTTTGAGACAGATGGGTGTCATACTCTATTTCTAGTAAGAAAATATCACTCGGTGCTGATTATGGAGGTGGTTTCCCCCTCCACTCGCCCCCATTTCTCAAGGGTAAAACTAAATGCAAAGTGTTCATCTGTGCTCAAAGCAGGAGGCTTTGAAATAAGTAATAATTGCTAATAGTTTTTGTGGAACCGACAGCAGCCGGGAGCAGGGTGAGCGGAGCAAAGAGCTCTCTGAGCTGCTTTCATTTGGATGCCCTTTTGCGGGAGAAAGAGACACTTGTGCTGAAAGGCACCCATGATTGCAAATCAGGGAATAAATACCTCTCATCTCCCAGGCTCTGTATGCAAAGCAAAGCCTTTCTATTTGTGAAACACACTGCCCTCAGGAAGAGGAAGGGGGTCCACAAAACTCAGTCCCAAATGTTACGGTTGTATATTCTATTTGTTCTCAAAGGTCACGTCCTCAAACTTGAAGAATGCTTGAAATAGAAAATGGCATTTTTAATTATTATTATTATTATTATTATTATTATTATTATTATTATTATTATAGGATTGAAGAGGAACAACTGGAAAAGCTGACACGATATGAGGATTTAAAGATCGAACTGTACAAGCCAGTCAAGGTGGTCCCAGTGGTGATCGGCACACTGGGTGCAGTGCCTCGAGACCTTGGCCTGCACTTAAACACCAAAGAAACACAGATATCTATGAACAATAACAAAATACAAGTTGCAAAGCATTATCAAAACAGAACTGTGTTAACAAAAAGCGTGTAAAGCGTGTAACAGTTTTGTTAACACAGAACTGTGTTAACAAAAAGCGTGCACATGAATCACAAAACAAAACTGAATGTTACTTAGTGAATGTGCTTGCTTTGGCAGCACATATACTAAAATCGGAACGATACAGAGAAGATTAGCATGGACCCTGCACAAGGATGACATGCAAATTCGTGAAGCGTTCCATATTTTTGTATCATCATTTGGATTATATTTTGAACTGGATACCATTTGCTTCCCGTCTGCTTCGCAAGCACGCTTGACGGGGACGAGAGACAGGGCCTTTTCTGTGGTGGCCCCTCGGCTGTGGAACTCCCTGCCTAGGGATATTAGATCAGCCCCCTCCCTCCTGACTTTTCGGAAGAGAGTAAAAACTTGGCTCTTCGAGCAGGCATTCGGAATCCCGGAATAGATTGTCAAGCTTGAGATGGAGAATGACCCAGGAACGGCCAAGACGATGAAATGGATGAGGATTGGAATGAGAGGATAGAGCTCTTTTTAAATTGTTATTTTTTGTCTAAATGCACTTAATTGTTTTTGCTGTTGTATTGTATTGATGGCATCGAATTGTGCCGATATGTAGACCACCCTGAGTCGCCTGCGGGCTGATATGGGTGGGATATAAGTGATGTAAATAAATAAATAAATAAATTTGGACTTAATTTAGACAGTATTTGAAGATAATTTACTGTCTCAAGGACTACAAGATAACTAAGTAACATTCAGTTTTGTTTTGTGATTCATGTGCAGTGTATTTACACGCTTTATGTTAACACAGTTCTGTTTTGATAACGCTTTGCAACTTGTATTTTGTTACTGCACTTAAACACAACCGTTGCTGACAAAATTACCATCTGCCAACTGCAAAAGGCCACCTTACTGGGATCTGCACGCATTATTCACCGATACATCACACAGTCATAGACACTTGGGAAGGGTCCAATGTGTGATCCAATACAACAGCCACCAGAGTGATCTTGTTGTGTTTCAAACAACAACGACAACAACAACACCTGGGCCATCCCCGTCATTAGATACACTGCTGGAATTGTGAACTGGACCCAAGTAGAGCTGGATGATCTGGAGAGAAAAACAAGAAAACTGATGACTATCCACTACTCTTTACACCAGTGTAGTGATGTCGACAGACTTGACCTGTCCAGAAAACCAGGAGGCAGAGAGAAGAGGGCTTCTGCCAGGGAAACCAACGGTAGAAGGAGAATAGGAACACACCCTGGCAGATGATGGGAAAGGCAGTCAAGAACCAACATTGAGGGAAGTCAAGAGTAGTAAACTGCTTCAAGTGCAAAAGACAAAGAAGGAATACCGCAAAAACACAATCCAGAGCAGAAGAGAAAACTGCCCAAAGAAGGCTCTCCATGGACAGTTCCTGGGAAAAATTAAAAAATGGGACTCTGAAAAAGAAGACAAAGGAGGGCCTGATTCTGGCAGCCCAAGAACAAGCCATTTGAACCAATGCCATCCAAGAATTGGAAAGTCAACGACAGATTCCAAGTGTAGACTCTGCAAGGAAGCAGATGAAACAATAGATCCCATCCTCAGCTGCTGCAAGAAGATCGCGCAGACAGACTCCAAGCAGAGGCACAACACCCTTGCTCTGATGATTCATTGGAACTTGTGACACAAATACCATCTGCCTGCGACAAAGAACTGGTGAGATCACAAGCCGGAAAAAGTTACAGAGAATGAATATGTCAAACTACTCTGGGACTTGCAAATTCAGACAGACACTTTACTTGGATCTGCACACATCATCATCATTATTATTAGTAACTTTATTTGTACCCCGCTAACGTCTCCCGAAGGACTCGGTGCGGCTTACAAAGGCCAAGGCCCTCAATAAAACAACAGCACAACAAATACAACACTACAACTCATAAAGCAAATCAATAAACATTAAAGCAGTAACAATAAAACAGTACATCATTCCAAAATACATCACACAGTCTTAGATGCTTGAGAAGTGCTCCTGGTCAAAGGACATTTAACCAACTACCAAACTCACAAATTTTGTATTTTGTCTGTTTGTTTGCTTTGTTCTGTTAGAAATGTAATATAATTTGACTGGTTGTCCTGACACGGAAAAAAAATTACTCAATTGTACTCACAATGGCTTTTCAGAGCTCCCTGCCTGACCAACAGCACATCTGAGGCCTTGTTCTCTACTGAAGGAGGAAGGGGAGATTCCAAAATGGAGATCTCAACCCCAGGAAAAAAGGCGGACTCCAAACCCAAAGAGATACTTTCTAAACCAATAACTGCAGAGGGCCTGCAGCCTGGCTTTCCAAACTCTGATACTG